TAATTCAAGTGCACGCTCTCCGCGAGTCGGCCTCCTCGGCAAGAAGAAAGTGAAAGTGTTAATAAAAGGAAAATCGAGGGAAAGTGTGTAAGAAGAGGTGAAGGGCCTTTGGCCGGGGGCCAGGGGTGCGGATAGCCCTGCTGGGAGGTGGCCAACAACCCTCTAACCAACCCTCCACCCCCTGACGAACGATTAATCCGACATTTTCACCGGGGGCGGCTTTCACCTCCGCTCGCCCTCTCGAGCACGGCGACTTTTCATTTCGACCGTGAATTATCCCTCGGGATTTTTCGCCGATCCCCGAGGCCGAATATATTACCGATCGTCGTCGGCGCCGCCCCCGGAGGCGGATAATAAAACCGGGGCGGTTTCAATATGGGGCCCGACCGGAGGATGGGAAGAGGGATCTCGTCGGTTCAAGAATTCCGATTAAATTTCTAATGCCCCTAATTCCTTGAGAATCGATAAAAATATAAATGTTGACGTTGAAAAGCTCGAGACAATTCTAAGTTGCCGACAGAATAAAAAACGAAGGACTAAATATTTTCTGTATCCCTGAACATCCCGCTGAAACGTTCTCTCCTTGCTTTCAGTACGATATTTATACCCAATTTTCAAAACGTGAAGAAATTGAAAAATGTCATACGAAAAAACCAACGACATTATGCCGACAGGACAAAAAATTCCCCAAAATATCAGTTCAACCGAACAAACATCGCAAGATTTTGATTGGTATTCCTTTTTAAACCAATTTGGTTAAACAAAGAATTTTTCAGATCATTCATTTGATCATCAAAAATTTTAGTTTGGTCGTTTCCGATCATCAGGTCTGCTTGCCTCTATCCTTGCTATTTCTGTCTATCAGACGCAATCATGCATCTCGCCATCTTCATTGGTTTGATTATTTGTTATTTTACCTAGTCCTTTTTATCTTTCATACATCAGTGAACGGTGAAAGGGGTGTCTTTGAAAAATATATACGGCTGCACGGGGAAAAACATAGACCAACCACCGAAAAAGGCGAAAACCCGAAATCTGGCGGAATTAACAGCGAGACTAGGAAGACCAAAATTACGGCTCACAGTAAATGTTCTAAAATAAATTATATATCTTGATATTTCAATGCACCGGAATAGCTGTAAATTTGTAAGAACATTTTTGCCCTGTAGGTTTCAGAAAATCATTTTCTTTATCGTGCCAACGTTTCGATCTTTATTGAGATCATCTTCAGGGCCTAATATTTTTTATATTCAATCAATATGGCAGAAATACTTTAATTGAATATAAAAAATATCTTTTTTCATTGTATAAATTCACTTTTTCCACATCCTACATGTATTTGTTAAATTTAAACAATGTTTATAAATCCCAGGCTCTGAAGATGATCTCAATAAAGGTCGAAACTTTGGCACGATAAAGAAAATGTTTTTCTGAAACCTACATCACACCAGACCGCATCTCACGATTTCCGAATTACCAGTGACAATTATTCAAAATGTGATTGGACTTTAATAAAGTAAAATCTGACCTAGCAATTTCGTCCCACTACGAAATATCAGTTTTTTTAAAAACATAAATTAAATAATATTTCAGTGTTTATTATCCAAAGTATCAAGAATAATCAATAATCATTGAGTATGTTAAGTAATTAAAATTTAATTTTATTGGTTGAGAGCTGGATCTTTTTGGTCATTTTTAACGTTTTGTCCTGGGATGTTTGACATCAGAATTAAACAACACAATTAACAGAATTAGATCACAATTTAATTAATGGGTAAAATTAATTACTCATAATTAATACATACAGATCAACCAAAATGCAATATTATCCCGTTCTGTGCTAAAGGTTAAAGTTGAACTCTGTTTTTCAGGCTAAGTTAATAAAAAATTGATGACCTATGTAGGTAAAACAAAATCTAAGTGTAATGAAATATCATCAACCTAGAAATTTTCTAGTGTGTGGTTTTTCCAGGACAGGATTTATTGTGCAGCTTTGATCGTATCGGAAGTTTCTTTACAATTAAGGAAAACCGTAATAGTCCCCATCGCGACACAAGATCGAAAAGTATCTGTGCGACTCTGAACTGAAAAAGGATCGCCTGGATAATTTATGGGCTCGTTTAATTGAAAGTTCCTCCGTATAAGATGGCATTGCGGCCTCGCCGAGACAGGCCGTGATATACTTGTTAAATCTTAAACTGCTCACAGTTTATCCAGTTAAGATCTATTAAAAAAGTAGAAGCCTCCAAATTTTCGACCCGTCCTCTCCATACCAATATCGTGCCTCGGGCACGTGACAAACGGGGAAAATTTTAAGCAAAGAACTTCTTTTTTTTCGTTTGAAAGCGAGCTAAACTGCTATGAAGGTACGGGGTGGCTATGACTCACGCACTGGGAGTATTGATCAGCAGAAGACAAGCTTTTCATCCCTTCTATTTAGTTACAGACTCCCGCTACCCAAACAACTTTTGACCGGCCAGTTTTCGCGGGAGAGAAAAAATTTGTTTCACGATATCGGACCGACCGTTCAACAGCTCCGGAAGTCCAGTAGTCGTTCTACACAGGAAGCAGATAATGAAGTGACACGTCGTAAAGGAAAAATTAACGATTCACCAACGGGATGTGGGATATGTCCATTAAGTTAAAATGCGTAAAATTTCGTCTTTACTCTTTCAAAATAAAGTATTTAAAAGACGCCTTACAGAACATTTAAAAAAGTGATCGTTTTATCATTACTGATCACTGCTTATTTAAGATTTTGCAGGTCAGATAAGACTGGACATATAGAAGATTCAAGCCTCCTCGGATGAACGCATGAAGCTGATATGCTTGGGATAAAAAAAACCGCGAGAGCAGGCGCAATCAAAGACAATTTTCTAGAGCTTATACGTCAATAGACCACCCAAGTAATCGTACGATTTTTCTCAGTAATAACATCGCGTTATTTATTCAAAAATTATACGATTAGTACTTTGCCCAAAATTCTACGAAAAGTGACCGGGGAATCATAAAATTTATGAAAATTTTCATACTTACCCGTCCTTATTTACTTCATTTTCGATGGGTAAAAGAAACAATGAAATCGTTACAATCTTGTTGTTTTAAGATTGCAATCAAGTTTGCTATTCTCCATTTATTACCGTCTCATTACGTTTATAAAAAGCCATGTCTATTTATAATTTATATACAAACGCGTATAAATGTAGGGCGTTAATGATTCAGTCGGAACTCGGCCATGGTTTGAATATTTGTTGAGATTAAAAGAAAAATGCAAACCAGACAAACTTTGTATAGAAATATTAGTCATCGACTTGAAGAATCCCAGGTTCGATTGGAAATTGGCAAAAAAAATTTCTCCCTATGGGAATATTATCGGTGGTAGTGTTAACGTAGAATTACCTCCCGTGAATTCGCATTTTCCCTGTTTTAGGACCCCATTTTCCGTTAGATTAAGCATAGAACGTTGGTTTCCGCTATGTTCAAGCACTTGGTTGGCAGAAGGGGCTTAGAATATTCTGTATTTGAAAGATCGATAGCACACGTGTGTCAAGCGGCCGTCGAAGTCAGCAATTGCTAAATTTTTACCCGCACAAAAAGTTGAAAAGTTTAATTTTTAATGAATATAATGCATTTAGTATTGGTTTAAAAGAACTATACAATACAATTGAAATATTTCTTTTATAGCGGATGTCAAAATTATGTTGAGAAACCATTTAGCCGTTATGTAGGCAACGTTAAACTTATGTTTGGCTTCTGTTTTTAAATTTATAAAACGACTTTAAAATTTGTTAAAGACAAATAATGGTTCCAGGGCACAATCGCAACACCAGTTCTCTTTTTCCGTAAATATATATTTTTTTAACTAATTCACCTTATAATAAAACGTAAAGTTGAACAATTTACCTACGTAGCCGTATTTTCAGTTTATTGAAAACTAATTTTCTGAAGTCGTCGAAAGATAGGAAGAAAAACTTTTCCCAAAGTTTCATACAGTTATAAAAGTTGTTTGATTAAATTTCCGAATGGTTATTTACGGGCCGAAATCGAAAAGGCTGCTTTCAATATTGGGAATGTGCCAAGCTATTTTTGTTTCATTATGAACGGAGAAATTTACGGTAGAGGGAAATTTAATCAGGAACTTCGACGGTTGCCGCGGAAAAAAGCGAAATGGCGCGGATGCCCGCGTTTTTGCACGGCTATCACGCCGGCCCGTTCGTCGCCGTAAACAACAATCGGACGCGTCAGAAGCCAAGAATAAATATATTAGGTTGCTAAGGGTTAAATTAAATTTCATGATAATTTAATAAATCTTCTAGGCGGGGGCGAACGGAGGGAGTGTGTGATTCATGGAGGACCTCCCCTGGGTAACATTACTGCCTCCTTGTAACATGAATGAAATATCAAAGCTTGTCCACTCTTCCTAACAAACATTATTTATACAAAACATTTATACATAAAATAAAGGGCATGCGAGTAGAAAATCAATACTGTCCAACGGACAAATTGGCCGATACCACAGTCAGAAAAAGGACGAAATGACCAATTTTTGACAATGACCAAACCAAGATTTTTTTTATTTTGCCGCGCCCAAAAAACCGTACATATTTTAATTCTAAACAAAATAATTGAACTTCTAGAAAATTTCTGTCATAAATATACATAATTATGTACGGCCCTTGGTATAACAAATAAAAAATTAAAAATGAAGTGACTACTAACATTAATAAAAAATCTATTTTGTAAAAGCCAAAGAAAGAACCAAAAGCCAATCTTTACTATCTATCGGGGAGGGGGATATTTATACACACGTGGCCGAGTAAATTGAATAATTTAGATTTTGTTACGACTGGATCGAGTTCAGTGAGCGTGGACGTTTACAAGCACATAAAACAAGCTGGTGTGTTCGTGACTGAAATCGATATAAAAAGAGAAAAGAAAAAAGATTGATCACGACTAATACTTTCAACTGGGCATGGAGGTAAATAAAGCAAGGGTTTTACCTTTTTCTCCGTGAGTTTCTCGCATCTCCTCATTTTGCAGATTTGATGGCTCTTGTCGTTCCGACACGGCGCGCAATCACCACAATTGTCTTTTCTCTGGCACCCGATGCACTCACCACACCGTTTACGCTTCTTTTTAACCGGTTTGTCCGACAATTCGTGTATGTCGTCTTCCGACTGCATGTTCGGATTCTGATGGCAGGCGAGCGGGCTTTTGAAACCCGCCGTGCTGGAGATGGCCGCGACCTGTCCGGAGCTCTCTACACTCGAACTACCGACACCGTCACTTTCGTTCGAACTCTCGAGACTGGAAGCACGGATTTTCCTCCTTTCTTTCTTCCTCGAGTCTAGGTACCCTCTCGGAGAGTTGGCGTCCTCCATTTTTAGTTCGTGGTGGTCGTAACCGCCTTGCAGCTGGGTCACGATCAGAGGTTCAGTCTTGACAACGGTCAGCAGAGTAGTCTGCTGCTGGGGTTGGTAGGCGCCTAACTGGTGGTACTGCTGATGAGGGGCCCCTTGAAAGAGGTGGATGTGTCTCTCGTCGAGGAGCTGCTGTTGTATGCTGGGTATCTCCCTCGCTTGGACGGGGGCCGGGACGAGAGGATAACCTCTGGGAGGCACCGTCGAAAGAGTGTGAAAACTGGGAAGACCGGAAGAAGAGCTGTTTGGAGACGGCGGAGCGGGAGTCAGCGTCGTCAGCACCGTCTCCCCGTTCTGCTCCTGCGGAAAGGCCGTAAACTGCGACTGGAAGGACGGGAGTTTGTTGGCGAGAGGCGAGCCGGGAAACTCATGGTCCTTGCTCTCCCACGGCCTGTATTGGGGTTGGGGGATCAGCATGGGGAAACCATCGCCTCGATCCAAGAGTCTTCCGCTCAACCCTTCTCCGTAGTAATCCCACGACGATATGTCCAACAGCCTGCTCGTCTGCAGCGCCTCGCCGTCTGTGTTGGTCATCCTGCCCCCGGCTTCCATCTCGCTCCCGCCGAACGAGGAGAACGGCGGCAGCCCGGATTTGGAATCTTCTGGGACTGTGGACGAAGGGGCTGGCTGCTGGACGAAACCGCCGCCGTAGCCCCCGCCCACGTCCCCTCCTCCGCCTTCGCTCATCAACCGACTCTTTTTCTCTCCATCATTCGACCTCCGCTACTCCTATCTGCGAACAGAAAAAAAAGAAAAAGATCAGTCTCGATGAAAAGTCGTCGTACCCTCCGCCGGGCCGGGCTTTATTTGAACAGTCACAGCTGAAAAGGATGTTACAGGTAGAGCACACAACCAGCCTCGCAGCCGCTACACACTGTAACGCTCATATAGAACAAACCAACACGTCCGTTTTAGAAAAATAGCACGCTCTTAGTTGCTGCTGTAATTGCCGACAAATTCTTTTAATATATTTATACACTACGTGCACAGTGAGATGCTTTCATTTTCACGAACTGTTACCCTTTTTTATATCCGTATTAAAAACGATCAAACGTATGGCATCTTGAACTGCTGAAACCTTTCAAGTGAAGCGAGGCATCATCTAGAAAAGAATGGTTTAGATTTTGCGAAAAGGGGTAGCACCATCTTTTGAAAGAACTATTCATTTCTTTATTTACCGCGAAAGGGGCTGGGAAGTTAAGAATATTACCAAACCAAAACAGTTCTGACTGAATTAAAAGTTTGATTATTTAAAGAAAAAATTGAAAATATGCACCTTCCATATTTGGAACGTCACAACAACTAGCTAATCAGTAAAAATTAGACCTTCGGTGTAAGTATTTATCTGTTTATACTCTGGGGGACTCCATAGCGTAAAACGAATCTAAAAAGTGCACCACCGTCGTCCTGGATACCGGCTTAACAGTATTCAGGGAAGGGGGTTTGAAACAAATAATTAAATTTCGAGTCGAAATATCGACCAACAAGTAAATGATGCTTCACCATGCGTCCGTGATCGCAATGCCAAGTCGGAATTATACTTTTTCCCCCTGCGAGGCCAAAAACGCAGTAAATTTGGATAAAAATCCGACGCAAAGAAATATTTATTATACGAATAGGGAAGCGATTCGGCAATGATGCGTTGATATGTATTAATTGCTTCTTTAACACCAAATTTAATAAAGCCCCCGGGCAAAAGAGGCTGTATCGGATTTCAGACGGTTTTACCTTGCCAGGGCAATCTAAACGTTCGAGGCAATCGCCGATTTAAGCTGATCCCTGAAAAGCCCCGACCTGATCTGAGGAAACATCTCGAAATAAAAAAACCAAGAAGCACGTAAAAAATTGATAGCTTACGGACCTTATTTTTGAGTTAGTTTTTATTTATTTTTCACCTGACGTTCTGAGCGTAGAAATTATAAAATGTAAAGCAAAACTTAAAGGAGTGCAACAAAGTTTCCCGTAAACTTGTTAGTATGTACCAAGGCAGAATTTCTCGCAACTTAAAATTACAGAATCTGTCAAAGTTAAACAGTCTATTCTTAGGTTTAAATGGGATTAAAGGAACTTTAAACAAATTATAATCTTGAGATGGCGTTTTGTCAAACAATCCGATTTGGATGCAATCTCAAACGGATAAAATTAGAGATACTTCTCTATTAAGCCCTTACGTCCTCCTATAGGCTTTGACCTTTACATCGGACAATTTAACAACGTGAGGGAGCGAAAATCGTTAAGCGGGGTTAAAGAGAATTTTCGTAATATGTAATAAACAAATTATTTATCAAATATTTACGATTTCCTGAAAAATAATTTGTTTCGTGTTTATCTTCTTTTCATACACACGAAATGTTGAATTTTTGAATTAAAAAACAAACACTTGGAAGAGATGACTGCTAATTTGCATAAGCTGACTTATTTATATAACTACAAATATAATGCCCATAGCAAGCAGATATTCATCTTAAAAACACTCATTTGGACTTAGTTGTTATTGACATCCTGAAAACTCACGCATAAATCGTTCGTCAATTTGTTCTAAATGTTAATTTAAGGCATGACATCGCGCTCATTTTTACATTAATTTCTTTCTAACAACTATCGATGTTCCTTTGCGTCGAGGGTGGACATCAGCGTCTCTACTGCGCGCATGAAACCAACCATCGATGAACCTATCAAAACTTTTTTTTAAATTATGCAATTTATATTCCTTCTCATTAAAACTTTTCGAAAACATAATTAAACGTAAATAATAATTTTTCGTTATGTCCAAGGATATTTTTGTATGACTTCGTGATATTGCCAAGGTGTGTTTCTACTGTTTAATTTGTAGAATGGAGAAACTTTCTGAAGATTCATTAAATAGATGTATTCTTATTATATATTAAATATGTAATAAATGCAGTTACATTTTTGCCGTGAAACTATTTGAAAAATTTTGAATTTTCCCTCCCGTGCCAATGACTTTTTAATCTCAACTAAAAACCTTAATTAATTATAATATATTAATTGGTCAAGCGGACCACGAAATTAGTGAATTTATTTGAAAATTTTTCATTAACTACGAAAGTACATATATTTATTTCGAAAATCATCATCGTTTTGTAGTGTATGATTGAATTTTAACAGAAACGAAATACGTTGACGGATTTTATTATACAAAGTAACTTGCAATGTGATTGATTATCTAGTGAGGATTGTTTACATAAATTTTTATATTAGAAGTAATTAAACATTACAAATTGATCGGAGATAGTATAGGATAAAAGGGTTGTTTTGACAAGAAAAAGGGAAACAAGCGATTTGTGGTGCGAGGGCGGGGAAAACCGAAGCGTGGTGATCGTGAAAGAAACGATAGCGAAAGTGACCCCCGCGTACCTCAGACCACAGTAAATGAACAAATGGGGCTTACTTGTGCGGGAATGGTGAAAATGATGTGCGGAGTCATGAATCTGGAAAAATGTATTTCGAAGGAGATGGAAAGAAAACAGTCTGGCACACGTCGGGGCACTAAGGAGAATGTAAAGGGGTTTGGTTTGAGTATGGTGTAGGACTGAGCCGTAGAGGGAGGACGACCATTGAGTTCGAGGGGATCGACCAGTGCGCAACCCCTCCGACGGAGAACAACCCCTTTCACTTTCCTACGCTACCCCCGTACGATAAGATAACCTACCCCACATTCACCTCAAATATTAACACCCACACTCACACATTCGCCGACACGCCATCTCACTCCGCTCACGAGGTAAACACAGACACTTCCCCCGACAAACCGCCAGACTAATTAACGCCGGTTAAGATGTATTTATACGCCACGACACGTTTCTACGCACAATTTTTAATACAGTTCCTTCCTTCCAAACCGTCGCCCGCCTAATTTTACAACCCTTAATTCCTTCATTTCCATAAATTACACATCTAACAACTCACAACTGAACTGATGAAGTTGTCTAAATAATTGAAAGTAGAGGATTAATTAATTAAACTTAATAACTCACAGTACGACTCCCGACTGGGTTTTAACCATAGAGTGTAAATTTGCGGTTTTATGTTTCAGCATTGTTTGTTTGTTCATTGAACACACGATCGCTTTTAATTTAATCTCATTGATGTTTTTCAAAGCTTAATTTTACTGTTGTTTTTTTTATTACAATTCCTATATAAATCAAATCGTTAAATTTAACCAGAATGCTTGGTATTCCTATAACATATATTCTTGTTCGAAGAATCTAGTGAGAATCTTCGAATTAGCAACGGGCTTTTTATACAAAATTATTGTAATTTTCTAAATTCTCATACCTTTCAAAACCACATAAGCAATTGCTCCTGACATATTTAAAATTTTGGTTAATTTTTTTTAAAGTTCCTTGCAGTTTAGGTTTGTCAGAAAAATTTCGCCATTTCACCGTTTTCACTGGTGGTTTTTTTTACTTTTTCTCCTTGTTTGTACTTTTTATAGATCTTATACAGATATAAAAACCAGTCCTAAATTACATATTTACGTTTTGAAATATGAAATACTAACGGATAAAAATATGCCGGGTCTGTAAGTACAAATTCGCGTCAGAAAATGGTGAGATAGCGAAAGGCGGCCGACCAACAGCGAAGATAGGCGGACCAGAATGATCCGAAATGTACACTATGTTTAATTTTGTTACACACAGCCAAACAGCGCAGAGCAAAATCTCACAAATTAATTTTATGAACTGACTTTTTACGCACTATTAATCTTAAATATTATTGGTTTAAAACACAATTACAATAGAATTTTCATCTTGATCGAATGTCTTTGGACGGTTTTCGGTCCAGGAAATTTGAAAAAGAAAAAACTCCTGCATTTTCCGAAGATTTTGAACGACCCAACACCCACCGGTTTATCAGTCAGCAAATATTGAACAATGATCTATCCGTCCCAATCAGAACCGGGCAAAAAAAAGAAGGAAAATGGGAAAAAAGGTCTTCATTTGAAGAGAAAAGTCGTGTACCGTTCGATCCGAAAGTTTTCCCTTATTAATTTAAAAGGAAATATTCTAAATTTAACGGAAAAGGTTTGGTCCAATTCCATTCCGCGATATGTTTATTTACGCTGAGCGATCGTTTCGAAAAAAAAGAGAAAAATCCCACGTCAAACCTAACAGGAAAAATTAGAATTGTAGCTTAGAATCTGTCTGTTGAGCATTTTTCAAAGTAAATTGTAACGGAAACTATTTTCAAAATGTAACCTCGTAAATAGATCAATCTAAAAAAAAAGTGACGTGTCCATGATAGTCCTTAAATTTTATTTTTAAGGATTTATTTTTGAGTGAGGTACTTTTAAAATAAATTAATTTTAAATACTTTAGCATAAAAAATCGAAAATAATAAGGTTAGCAGACAGTTCACAAATCAACAATCAATAGAACAAAAACCTGTACTATAGTTTTTATTATGTAACATGGATTTTTTAAAACTTTTTTATATTTACAATTTGTGTTTTTTACCTTTCTGTTTTTTATTAATTTTTTGTTTTATTTTTACAATACATGTTTTGGACGCTTTGGGAATTCACACAAATCATCGGCATCTAGATTTGTCCTATTACTTTAATTTTATTTATTTATTTTTTAAATTTTCAATATATATATATATATATATCATTTTTTAAAGATTTATGACCGTTTTGCATCGACAAGCCGCATGGCCAAGAATGGAAGAAAAGTTCAGCTTCTTTCTTCTTAAAAAAATTTAATAAAAAAAAAGAATATCAATGTAGATGCTTATGATCCAGAACTAGTGAACTGTAAAAGTCGCTGTGGTACTCAGCGTATAACCGCACGTGCCCAACAAAATATTTGTTAAGTTAGCAAACTTCACAATCACACTTAAATGAAAATTAAGCACAGAAGGCGTCGGTGAAATCTTAAATAATAAGAGATATTTGAACATATTCCGGATGACTCGTTGGATATGTGTATATACTTTTTACTTTTAGGGCCCGTTGCACCAACTTCGTTTAACCTTGGTTCAGTACTGAACGGAGTTCAACACAAATATCGGCGTTTTTATTTCTTGTTTGTCATGCTTTACCGTCCGTGGAATCCCGCTGTGTCTTCTCGATCCCACCTGGCATAATTGGCGCGGAAACGCTTCCGAAGAAGATCAACAGCCAAAACGGGCAGCTACGTTGAATCTAGTCGAATATCGTGAATGTACGCGCAACAAAAAGTAAAAAGTTGGGAAATAGTACTCGTACCTCGCCGGTATGAAAAATTTGGAGGGCAAAAATAGTACGGAATTTACAAAACAAACCAACAGTTTCTTCATTAATTATTGGTGAATAATTCACTCACTTTTCGCTGTCCGCAATATACCAAAAACCAACCATATAGTATATAAAACGTTTTCTTCATTATTTTTACTTAAATAATTATCTCATTTTTTACTGCATGATTTTGTACAAAAAATGTCTGTTTCTTTATAAATTTTTTCAATTAATTTCCTCCTTTCCTATAGTACATACCCAATAACAACGCTTTTTTTCGTTCATTTGTGTAAATAATTTCCTCGCTTTTCATTATACGAACTATACCAAAAAAAAGTTTCATCATTAATTTTGAAAAATATTTTTTTTATGCCTGGGAAAATATTCTATCCAGGAAAGAAAGACTCACAATGAAAGGACATCGTGCTAGTAATGCAAAATGGTCATATATCTATTTAAAAAAAACTGTATATAATGATGAATGATGAAATGAAAAACCTATTTTTTTATATAAGATGTTCATAGATGCTGATGATGGGTGCACACTACATTCAAAAATTAATTATTTTCTCACGTCTACCTTAATAAAGTAATAATTTAAAAGTAAATAATTTCATCTAATTTCGCTGTACTGTTTGTACAAAAAAACCGTTACTTCATTAATTTTGCAAATATTTCTTCACTTTTCACTGTACACTACATGTCAAACACCAGCAGTTTCTTCATTGATTTTTGTAAATAATTACTTCACTTTTCGTTGTACACAACATACACAAAAAATTCTTACATCTCCCTTATCCTACCCCTGTGTACACTACAAAAAAAGGTTTTTCATACATTTTTGTAAAAAATTTCATCGCCTTTCGCTGTACTCTATGCGCAAAAAGCCAACTTACTTCATTATTTTTCTAAATAACAACGGTTTTTCCTTCATTTTTGTAAATAGTTTCCTCACTTTTCATTACCCGTAATGTACAAAAAAAAAACCACCCATTTCTTCGCTAATTTTTGTAAATAATGTGTGGTGATTAGTGAACGTTAATCGATATTTATTTATAAATCGTGAGATGCGGTCTAGGGTGATGTAGGTTTCAGAACATTTTTGCTGAAATGCAGACAACACAAGGCCCTGAAGATGATCTCAATAAAGATCGAAACGTTGGCACGATAAAGAAAATGTTTTTCTGAAACCTACATCACACCAGACCGCATCTCACGATTTCTAAATAAATATTTGTAAATAATTTCCTCACTTTTCGCTGTACACAGCATACACAAAAAATTCTTACATATCCTCTATCGTCTCCTTTGCGTATCCCTGTATACACTACAAAAACGGTTTTTCATACATTTTTGTAAATATCTCTTCACCTTTCGCTGTATACAACATATACTCAAAACTTCTTACGTATCCCTGCTGAATACACTATAACAACGTTTTTCATTCATTTTTGTAAATAGTTTCCTCACTTTTCATTGCCCGTAATGTACAAAAAACACCCGTTTCTTCATTAATTTTTGTAAATAATTTTTTTTCACTTTTTCTGTAATCTGTACAAAAAAAAAGTTTCTTCTTTATTTTGTAAATAATTTCTTCACGCACACTATACGGTATTTAAAAAAAAATGTTTCTATTTTATTTTAAGACGTATGTAATTTCTTTACATTTCCCTTTATAGTATATACAAAAAAAAAATTGTTTTGCTCAAATATTCTTTTCACGTTTCTTTCTATAGATTCCTTCAACATAATATAATAAATTATCGAATTCTATCGATTTTATTTCGTCACGGGCATTATGGGATGTACATAGAGAAAATGGTATCTTCGTTAAATTGTGAAAATATTCTATTTACGCGTCAGACTATTTTTTCTTAAGCCATAGATTAGTATATACATATAAGGAGTTTTTTTGTTATTGCGGGAGAGATTTGATTTTACACCGTATCGATCTTTTTGTCATAAATCCTTCGATATTTATTGAATATATTTATTACTAAAGTTTAGTATATAACTTAGTTAAATTATCTATTATTTATTTACAATATTTATTGTAGTATTCGTTATTTTCGAGAGAAAGTGTTGTCTATCTGGAGAAGGCATAGAAATTTCAGTTTTATTTGGAAGAAGGAAGAAGTATTTTTAGGTGTTATATTAAATTTTTAAAGGTTGAATAAAATAGCATATATTGAAATTTGAGAGTGTGGATGTATTTGTAAAAATTTGTTGTAAAACGGTTCGCACCGGTGTCGGGGATTACGCAATGTTTGGGGGTTGGAGAAACGTGGGCCGGCGGCGGGCGCGTACGTGAGTAAAACGGGGGTTGTAAACAAACGGTCTCGCTTTATCGCCGGCATCCGCGGCTCGGCCGTCTCACAGCGAAGGGCAATTTTTCACTTTTTAAGAGGATTAAAATTCAAATAAAATAAATACAACTCACCTCGGGAGTAAACCGTAATAATCCAATGGGGCGGAAATATTTAAAAAGTAGAAAAATCCCAGAGGCACAAGGGCGAATGGGTGAAGCACAACCGCACAAATATTAAAAATTATTCAAAATAAAACGGTTTGGCCGGAATCACTGTGAAGAGCGGCTTCTCTGAGAGCGTTATCCTTTACCGGCAACCAAACGACATCTGAGCCTTTTTTTGTTTGGATTTTTCGCTAGCCGTTTCCTAGTTGTTCTCGAGGCCGGTTAGAGATCGCTGGCGGGCCGTCGGACGCCGTGGAGGGATGGAGCCAGCGGAGCGGGGAGGACAGATGCCGGGGAAAAGGGAGTTCGGTGGGATGGCGTACGCCCCACGCCCGACCTACACCGGTCCAAGCCACCATCGCACCCTCCAAGGCTCAAAACCAACCCCCTTTACAATTTATTAATCAATTTTCAAATTTCTTATTCTCGACATCGGCGAGGGCGGCACTTTTTCTCTATACATCCGCATCTCTTCGCTATTCCTCCACCGTGCACGCAGCGCATTGAGCCCGAAAGGGAAGAAGCGGACATTATTCGTATATTAATTTACAAATACACTCTGATAGCTTATTTTATAAAATATTGGGTTGTTTCACATGAAATGTCCGATTTTGTAGTTTCAGAAATTCACAGAGGATATAGCGGTTTTCTTATTATTTTTCGGTTATTAGTTTTTAATAATAATAATGCTTTATTGAATAAGAAAAAATGACAATTGTGATTTCAAAAATTAAGGACATGGATCTTGGATCCGTCTGCCAGAGGTCGTTGATTAAACAATCAGAAACGAAAAATGCACAATAAAATAAGATACTAATTATAGCCTAGGCAATAAATTCAAAGAAAAGAGAAATAATAAAATGAATAGAAAAACGGATTATTCAATACAAATCAAAATTATTATTAGGAGATCGTGAGAAGCGGTCAGGTGTGAAGTAGGTTTTAGACAAANAGCTGCGTATCAAGACGAAGGTCGTGGGTTCGAATCCCGCTCGTGACACTGACTTTTTTATCTCAACTTAAAACCTTAATTAATTGAATTATTCTAAACCTTGCGTAATAATTTTTTAACTCGGTCTAAGTTCTATTCTAAAGATAAAACGCCCAAAGTAGATGTGTAGTTTAATGCTGAAACGTTTTCAAAAAATAAAATAGATCAACGGACGTCCGTTGCAAATATCTTGTCCAGATTGGGGACGCACGTGGTTGCCGGAAGTCCAGGTTCCTCGCTGGTATGCTTAACATGCATTCAGATCAGATTAATTCGGCCTGGTTAACTGAAAATTATGCATTTAGTTTCCAGAGTTCTGTAAATTACAAAATTTTATACGAAAATTTACTAGAAATTGCAATGTCTTCAATTGTATGTGGGCATAAAAAGGCTATAAAGAGACCTCATACAATTTAAAAGGGCACATTGGGAATTTATTGCAATTTTTTTTTCATAGTGATTTTTTCTGAGGAAACTTGAAATTATTTAAAGTTTGTGCGCTCATTTGGCAAAAGGTAATAAGATTAATTATTCAAATATCGTGAGATGCGGTCTGGTGTGATGTAGGTTTCAGAAAAACATTTTCTTTATCGTGCCAACGTTTCGATCTTTATTGAGATCATCTTCACTCTGGGCACTCTCAACATGACACGCAAGAATGGCACACTTACACAGAACACAAACACTGAGCCCTGAAGATGATTTCAATAAAGATCGAAACGTTGGCACGACAAAGAAAATGTTTTTCTGAAACCTACATCACAGCAGACCGCATCTCACGATTTTTGAATAAATATCGATTAACGGTCACTAACCACCACACACGTTAATAAGATTAATTGAAAAAATTGGGCCTAACCTTTGCAATTAAAATTTTTAAAGATTAAACATTTACGGATTATTTAAGTTTTAATATTAATATAGTTAACGATCCGCAGAATTTTTTTTTATACTGTCAAATGTTTTAAACTTAGATAAGAACAGTAATCAAATTGTGTTTAGTTTCATGACCAGCACTGATGAGCTGGTGCGTTCTTTTTTTGTTCCTTTTTGTCCAAATCGTATTTTTAAAACAACCTCATTTCTCCGTTTTCTTTAGACGTCCTGCTTTCAAAGTTAATCCATTATTTTGAATCTGGGGCATTTCATCGTGTCTTTGCTTCATACGGACGACAACCCCTGTCACAGGCCGGAGGCCGAACCAGGTAGAAGTCCTATTCAATTCGTCCTTTTAAAAGGACGTGGGTTAACAGCCAGGGCAAATTATGCTCCCGTTTATGAAACGCAGATCGGAAAAGTTCCCACAGTTCGGCCCGTAAAATTGGTTTTATTCGAAACCCGTTTGACAATTACAACCGTTAAATGGTATTTAACTTAGAAAGTCGATAATAAAGTACAGTAGATGCTGTTAGCTAGCATTCTTCTGACGTGGTGCTTGAAGGATTCACGATGGTTGGCTTTCTTGAAATAAAATGGAAAACTGCTCAAATGGCAATATAATCAATAAAACATCCGCAGACGTCCTGAAATTTAGCTCTAATCGACCACAACTAAGTTAAGTTTTTAAATTTTACAATATGTTAGTTTTTACATCATACAAACTGTGTCAAATGAGGCAAAGAACCTGAAATTGCTCAAATGAAAAAAATCAGTCCAATATGTCAGAAAATGTCCATAAATTAAATAAAATTACATATGACATGGTGATACTTACTTCTGATTGATCATACTGAGCACAAAAACAGTTTTTGAAACGTTAAAACATCTCTCTCTCTCTCTCTCTCTCTCTCTAATTTGGGAATTTTTTTTATATTCTATTTTTACTTTTTTTAAATTAGAATTGTTATATCGTGAGATTTTGGGTTGATTTAGGAACAACATCCATACTGAATACGGTTTATTGGTCATTCTTGTGCCCTGGCGCTTTAAACGTTTCAAGATTGTTTAATTTCTTAAAATAAAATGAAAAACGGCTCAAAATTAAAATGAGAAAGTGAAAAATCAAGCCGAATTCGTGGGCAAATTGTTAATAAAATTTATAAAAAATACCTCAGACTTAGCTCTATTCGAGCATTTCTGAGTCCACAGACATTTAAAAAATTTAAAAATGTGGCTATTCCTTTTTACACCATAAGTGTGGCAAAGATTCGCTTTTCACTGTTTTAAGACTAGAATTCGTATTATTTTGAGAAATTTTCTTGTGAAGTCAGCAGACAAATGCACACTAGATACAGATGATTCTTGTGACCTGGATCGTAAAAAGTTCAAAATTTAACTTTCTTAAAAGAAAATGAAAAATCAAATATAAAACTTTTCTGCTTATTGTAAGAAGTGTTCATCCCTTACTCCATCCCTTTCTGAATTGACAAATAAAATATGATAATCCCAACTTACTTTTCATGATTTCATTAAAAAAATTCAATTATTGATCTAACACTGTGAAAAAAAAATCTTTTTCTTGCACGTAAATCAATATATTTACATGTTCTAGAAAAACCTGCTGAAAAACTAAATCTACAGTGCGAACAATATTTATTTTTATAAAAGTTTCAGATATCAAGGGTGAAGGAATATTCATTTACGACTGATTTTTGACCTTTTTCTCTTCTTGGCTTTGAATTATTTTGCATGCAATTTCCGTTTTCCGGTAAGCATTATTTGTAAATAGAGATTACTTGCTCCAATCCAATTCCACCAAATTTCAAATCCAATCCAAAAAATCCAATTCTCGGTCCTGTGCAGAGAGTGATGCAAGTAGACTGCAACAGACCGTTCCCAACCCTTTGTTTCAAGGGGAGTTTCCAGGCACAAAATAATGGCATAGCGTTGAGAACTTAACACACTTTAAGGTCCAAGCATTCGTGTTTCTTGGTGCGCATTTGGAAGATAGGACGAAGGAAGTGTATAGCATGCGAGGATGCTAAGACACCAGTCCCTCGACATGCGTTATGGGAGTTGGCTTGCGAGCTGGTCGCGGACGGCGGGCGCTGCATCTGAGGCATACAGGAGTTAGGTTACCAGATCCTTCTGCATAGACGGGGAGGGTGCATAACCATCTGAACTTCGGGTCAGCGAAAAATCGTCCCAGGTCCAATTCAGATTTCATGACTTTATTACTAACACTATGAACAATTAGCAAAGTCGTCATGTAATCGAGGATAGGGCATTTAGAGGCTGCATTTGGCTATTTTCGTACGTTCCCTTTCTTCAATGGTTTGCCTGTGCGTTTACTCGTTTCTATGCCATTTTACAGGTTCTTTTAACTTATTTTTATACAGCTTTGTACTGACATAAACATTGTCAAGCGCTGCTTAGACATATAGAATATTGTATAACTTGGAGTCGTTGAACTGAATATCATGATATACTGAGGATTTTTTCTAGGATACCTACACCAGTTTTCTTTTTCCTTGTTGTTTTAAATATTGACTCAAAGAAGGGATATCCCGATTTTCGTTTTGTCTCCAACGGAATTTGATTGATTGATCGTTCACCGGCAATTTCCTTCGAGTGTTTGCCTGTTGGTAAAAAAAGATTAATCACAATCTGCTCTAGTGTTTGCAGGGGGGTGGCGTTTTCCCTAGCCGGCCCCCGGTAGGTGTCCCGCCTCGCGTGCCTGCCGGGGCAATCCGCGTTCAACAAGTGATTTCACCATTTCATATTCGACGGGGAAACGTTTCATTACGTCGTTAATGTCGGAAATATTGACAGACTTTGTGTATCGGCTCGTCCCCCTTATTTTCTCCAGGGGGTTAAATCGAAAATCCAACAATCAACCGATTCATCAGTTCACCTCGGACAAAAACTGTGGCCACAAATCTTGAGCCAATCGTACAAATTATGCCAACTGAACGATGAAGAGCAAGAAATAAACTATAAAAACTAAAACATCTTAGGCAAACTGCAGAGATTTAATGCATAGGGCGATTCTTCCGGTTCGGTTGTCATCGCTGATATCCTCCCACTGATAGATTCAGTTTTTTTCGGATAGAAAATCTGATTACAAAAATCCTGTATATGATAGCACGACAACAATTATAGGCAAAATGCTGAAACTTGTGTGAAAGATAAATACTGCGAAGATAGACAGACCAAGAGGATCGCCAACGACCAAATTTTACATTTAAAACCTTGCCATCAAAATTCTTGATGTTTTAGGAGCAGGTAACCC